AAAAAAAAAAAAAAAAGAAAACATTATATCCACATTTTTATGCTTTTCTTTTTCATGCTTATAAACAAAAATACACTGTAGCAGTTATATATGGATGTGCTCCCAGGATATAGTTAACATTTACTCCTATGAGGAAATTAATCTTGAAATATTTGAGCTTTTAATTTTATAGAATCACCAGAAACAAATCTTCAAAAAAAAAAAAACAAAACTGCCTTGAACTTGGTGTAGTTAATAAAGGAATAAATTAGAATTTATGAAATGAAAAACAGAAAAGAATTTTGAAATACAAAGTTAGAATCTTGAACAACATAAATTCTATAATATAGTGAAAAGCTACAAGAATGAGTGATTCAAGGAGACTATAGAAGTAGACTGCCATATTTTTTATATCACCAATGGTATAAATACTACCATACTTCATTATTTGAACAAATGAGGAATAATAAATGTCTAAATAATTTTAGTAAAGCAAGCATTAATATTACTAATATCATGAAGTGACAATTTTTTTTTTTTTTTGAGGCAGTCTCACTATGTTGCCCTTGGTATAGGGCCATAGTGTCACAGCTCACAGCAACCTCCAACTCTTGGGCTCAAGTGATTCTTTTGCCTCAGCCTCCCAAGTAGCTGGGACTACAGGCGCCCACCCCAACGCCTGGCTATTTTTTGGTTGTAGTTGTCATTGTTGGCTGGCAGGCCCAGGCTGGGTTTGAACCCACTAGCTCCAGTGTATGTGGCTGGTGCCCTAGCAGCTGAGCTATAGGCGCCAAGTTGACACTTTTGAAATGTAAGATTATAATAAAGCTATCATCTTTATAATATGAAGTACTAATTATTATTGTTACTGATAAATAAAGAATAGGACATTAATCAATGCCTAAGATTTCTTAAAAACCTCAGAAAGAACTTCTGAGTTCCTTAAAGGTATAGTACTATACTGACTGATGGGGTCACACATAGTAAAGAGCTGTATAAACACGTATCTACTAGATGACTTATCTGATATACTACACTACTACTGCAAAGCCCTTATAGCTATGTGATTTTATAAATTCTTTAACAATATATAAAAGGAAAGAATAAGATTAATGATTCTCTTTATTCTTTGCTTCTTGGCTAAGGGATTAGAAGTGCTCTGGAGAATCTCCATTCAAATCATTTCCTTAATCTTCTACCTAGTAAACAGAAAAACATCATCCCAGATCCTTTTCTCTTCCTCTATTTTCTGCTGTAAATCCAGTATTTTTAGAGCACTCTATTTTTTTTTTTCCCTGCCGGGGCCAGCACCCTACCCTTTTGAGACACAGATACCACCCTAGAGCACTCTAAAAAAAAATGATAAGAAATATTAATCAGGCTCGGCGCCTGTGGCTCAAGCGGCTAAGGCGCCAGCCACATACACCTAAGGTGGCGGGTTCGAATCCCCAGCCCGGGCCCTTCAAACAACAATGATGGCTGCAACCAAAATATGGCCAGGTGTTGTGGCGGGTGCCTGTAGTCCCAGCTACTTGGGAGGCTGAGGCAGGAGACTCGCTTGAGCCCAGGAGTTGGAGATTGCTGTGAGCGTGATGCCATGGCACTCTACCCAGGGGGATAGCTTGAGGCTCCGTCTCAAAAAAAAAAAAAAAAAAAAGAAAGAAATATTAATCAAATAGGTAAAGAGTCACAAAGACTAAACCTTTTCCCCTCCTAGTTTAATTGCAAATTTCCCTTTACAAATCCTTTACTACAATGTACACGCACTTCTCATTTTTTACAAAAAATATAGAGATCTGGAAATGTGGTCACCAAAATACTAAAAAGAATAAAGAAATCCTTTTTTTTTAAAATAGAGTCTCAAGCTATTGCCCTGGCTAGAGTGCCATAGTGTCCTAGCTCACAGCAACCTCCAACTTGGGCTCAAGCAATCCTCTTGCCTCAGTTTTTCTATTTTAGTGGAGACAGGGGTCTCGCTTTTTAATCAGGCTGGTCTCAAACTTGTGAGCTCAAGCAATCCACCTGCCTTGGCCTTCCAGAGTGCTAGGATTACAGGCGTGAGCCACCATGCCCAGCCAGAATAAAGGAATCTTAAGGGTAGTTACCTTTGTGTAGAAGAGCTAAAGGTAATTTTCTTTTACTTCTTTGTATTTTTTTAATAGGTAATTCCTTTTATAATCAGGAAGTTACTACAATTTTAAAAAATTACAGTATTTGCATTTAAAAATGCAATTAGCTCTTACTCAATTTTCATAGCCAATATTTTTCTAAAATGATTTCCACTACCTAAAATATTTATGCTCAGAAGGTACATTATCATCAGAAACAAACTGTATTAACTTAAACAAAATATGATTCAATATATATGCTACAAAAAAATTCAAAATGAGTTCTGAAGGCAAATATTAAATAAAGACATGGCATAGTTAGCCTAAACTGAATTTCCTTGCTTTTTGTGAACTTAAGATTTGGGCCTAGCTGGGTGCTGTGGCAGGCGCCTGCAGTCCCAGCTACTCAAAAGGCTGAGGTTACTCTTGCTTAAGCCCAAGAGTCTGAGGTTGCTGTTAGCTGTGATGCCACAGCACTCTACTGAGGGTGACAAAGTGAGCCTCTGTCTCTAAAAAAATAAAATAAAATTTAAAAACGTTTACAATATAATTAAAAAAAAGATTTGGGCCTGAATATATTACTGCTTAATCAACCTATGATTATATAATTCTTCTTTCTCCCTACTATAAACTTAAACTTCATGTCCTTGGAGCTGTCTCTTTGCCAAGAGCCACACAGCTCACCGCACTCGTATTTCACACAAACAGATGTCCTTCCCCTACCCTCACCTGTGGCTTTCTTCAACTGCATTTCCACTCAGACTTCATGACCTGGCCTTTTAAATTCCAGAAACTCCAGAATTTAGTGATAGGTATCACAGAAGAAACTAAAGAAATAACAATTATTTTATTATAATTAATGGAACTGTAAACATAACATTCTTTGTTAATGGGACACATAATTTGTACATGCTGTTACATTCTCTCAAAACATTTCAGCATGAGTACAACTAAAAAGTACTATGTAGTATAAAGTAAGAAGAATCCTTTCTTCTCTCTTTAAAAGTTCTTACCTCATCAAATCCAGCAGCCTGCAAGTCTTGAAGCATTTGTGGATTGACTTCTGAGGTACTCTGGGAAGAAGAACTTGTTTCATTTGCAAATGGTAGTAAGGAGTTTCGAATCTCCTGCAAGGCTTTATGATGTGTCCCAAATTTGGGTGGATTTCTGACTTGTCGAGGATCTTCAGTTGACATTTTGCTCATGTTATGCTCAGCCTTAGCAGCATCGGATGGTTTGGATAAATTCCTAAGGGATTCCCGAATTTCTTGCAGCATTTGCCGGCTGCTGCCAGTGTAGTTACTGGCAGGAAAGGTCTTAGGCCTCATTTGTCTATATCCTTCTGGCTTTTCACTCCTCTTCATGAAAACATCTATATGTGTAACCCACACAAAAGAGTTCTTTAAACTACTTGATAGATTCAGAGTTTTCTTTTGAGCAAAAGTAAAAATGATCCTTTGAAGACGTTCCCAGGAATATTAAAATTCCTTACAATCTAAATTACTCTATAAAAGAAAAAAATAAGTAAAAGTTATAAAGTGATGAATAAAGCATTATTAAACCATGTATTAGAGGAAAACCTCACTCATACAGAAAATAAGAGATTCAGGTTATAGTTCTAGCTCCCTTAAGGATTACTATAGGATCAGGACAAGTTCTTTACCTAGCCTATAAAATGGATTTATCTCAAGTAGTTAAGATGGTAAAAGAATAAACTGAAGAGTGCTTTAGTAGGTATATAAAGCGCATACAAATGCAAGCAGCTACCGGTGAACAATATGACAAGCAACCTGTCATTATCAACTCTACCGAGTGGCTCCAATTTGAGATTTTACAAATTAGACTTTAATAAAAGATTTAGTTGGAAGAAAGAGTATTGCTTGTTGCTATAGAGAGATTTTGAAACCACTATTCCAGAAGACCCCTTCATGCTTCAAAGACAGATGCTTGGGTCTATTTCCCAAACTGTGAACTGCGCCTGTAGGAACAATGAGCTTATCAACAATGGACTAGGGAAAAGCTAGGTCTCTAAGGTCAACTTATCATATTTCTCACTTAATGAATGAATGTCTTCTATAACACACTGGGAGAATAGTCATCTGAAAGCTGAAAGGGGGACTTAAATGTTACCCACCTATAGGAAAATGACTAATTTAAGGAAGCCATTCCATTTGTAATCTTTAAGAAGTATTAAAAATGTTCTTGTGTGGAGCTTCATGAAATCCTACTCAGTGCCTATTGAGAGCCTGGCATGGGCCAGTGCTTGATGATTTTGCCTACCTACTTAGGTAGAAGGCATAAGACGCTAATGCCTCTGTAAAGTAAGCTTGCTGTCTTTACTTTGTAGATGCAGAAACTAAAGTTCAACGAGTTTGAGTAAATACTGTGTAAATAATGCTGGATCAAAACATTGCTAATTATTGTCTACTGGGAGCCTATTTCTAGTCTCAGTAAATGTAATTACTGTTCATGTTACATAAAGCTATCTACAGACACAGATATATAAATATTGCTTTCCTGTCATTTAAGTCTCAGCCCTATGTTACCTCCTCACTGGTCACTTAATTATCCCATTTATGTTCTTGATAGTACTTACCACTACCTAAAGTTATCTTACTTGTTTTTCTTTTTTTGACACAGAGTCTCATTATGTCGCCCTCAGTAGAGCTGTGGTGTCACAGCTCACAGCAACCTCAAACTCTTGGGCTAAAGTGATTCTTTTGCCTCAGCCACCCAAGTAGCTGGGACCACAGGCATCCGCCACAACATCTGGCTATTTTTCGGTTGTAGTTGTCATTGTTGTTTGGCAGGCCCAGGCTGGGTTCGAACCTGCCAGCTCTGGTGTATGTGGCTGGAGCCCTAGCCCCTGAGCTACAGGCACCGAGCCACTTGTTAACTTCTTAACCATCCATTTTCCCTCACTGAAATAAAAGCTCTGTGAAAGTAGAGGACCTTGTTTGTCTTGTGACCACTGTCTGCCTACCACCTATAACAAGACCTGGCACATAGTGGGTGATTAATAAATAAACATACTGTGTATGTAGAACTAATGAAATAAACACATGCCTCCTAAATATCCACAGTTACTTCACCCTTCCTGAACTCTAGTCATGCTCTTCAGGATACACTTTAATTTGCCAAAATCCTACAAGTGCTAGAAGAGCACAACACTTGTAATGGGAAATTTAACAACAAAAAATGGAATTCAAGTTTTGTTCTGTTAATTATTAGCAATATGGACTTGGACATTTCCTTCTCTGAAATTGACTTCTGAGGCATAAAATGGCTAGAGTTCTATCTACCTCAGGATGGAACCAAGATTAAAAGGAACAATATAATACAGCTAAGGGAGTATACACACAACTACGTGAAGATATATTATGTTCCTTGCAACATCACATATATATAACAGCAAAAGATGACATCATCTCTAGATGAGCATCAAAAGGATTGTTCAAGGCTCGGCGCCTGTGGCTCAAGTGGCTAAGGCACCAGCCACATACACCTAAGGTGGTGGGTTCGAATCCAACCCGGGCCTGCCAAACAACAATGACGGCTGCATCCAAAAAATAGTCGGGCGTTGTGGCGGGCACCTGTCATCCCAGCTACTTGGGAGGTGGAGGCAGGAGAATCACTTGAGCCCAGCAGGTGGAGGTTGCTGGGAGCTATGACACCATGGCACTCTACCCAGGGCGACAGCTTGAGGCTCTGTCTCAAAAAAAAAATAAAGTAATTCACAGACATTTAAAAAAACTGAGATTAATATGAGGGTATAAATGATTAGGTTACACTGTGCTTCCAAGGGAAAGTTCAAGTTGTAGTGGAGCCCTTCATCCTGGAGGTATGCTTAATACCTTTACATTTGGCACTTTAGGTGAGAGCTTACCAATCCCCTCCCCCTCCCGTATCTCCTTTCCTCCTCCCCTCCATTTGAATATGCTTGTGTTTTTCTCTTTCTTGTGGGCACGTAATTGTTTTTCTATTGGTTTCATATTAGTATTGAGTATTATAGTGCATTTATAAAATATGTGACTAGGTAAAAAGAATAATATAGTTCTATCTGTATGTAAAGACATGAATGGATGCCCCATAATGTATTCTTTTTTGTTTGTTTGAGACAGAGTCTCACTCCATAACCCTGGTTTGAGTACTACGGCATCATAGCTCACAGCAACCTCAAATTCTTTGGCTTGTGTAATCCTCTTCCTTCAGCCTCCCAAGTAGCTGGGACTACAGGTGCCCACCACAACATCCAGCTAGTTTTTCTATTTTTAGTAGAGATGGGGTCTCATTCTTGCTCAAGCTGGCCTCTAACTCCCAAGCTCAAGCAATCCACCCACCTCAGCCTTCTAGAGTGCTAGGATCATTAGGGGCATGAGCCACTGCACCTGGTCCCCATAATGTATTCTTAAGCAGAAAAAGCAAGTTTCTAATTACTGTGCATGAAATGAACCCATTTTCTATCCCCAAATTTGATCACGGTGATGGTTGTACTGCTCTGTGAATATGCTAAAAAAAAAAACAAAACCACTAAATTATAACTTTTTTATTGTTTATTTTTCTGCATGAGGGAGGGCTTTTCCTGCTAGATGAACTCTAAAAGAGCTGTAACATTCAAATTGTACACTTTAAATGGGTAAATTTTATGGTCTACAAATTATATCTTTTTTTTGAAACAGAATCTTACTTTGTAACCCTTGGTAGAGTGCCGTAGCATCAAACCTCACAGCAACCTCAAGCTCTTGGGCTCAAGTGATTCTCTTCCCCAGCTTCCCAAATAGCTGGGACTACAGGCACCTACCACAACCCCCAGCTATTTTTTTTAGAGATGAGGTCTCGCTCTAGCTCAAGCTGGTCTCAAACCCGTAAGTTCAGGCAATCCGCCCACCTCAGCCTCCCAAAGTGCTAGTATTATAGGTGTGAACCACCACACCTGGCCTAGAAATTACATCTTAACAAAACCATTTAAAATAAATGTTTTTGTTTGAATTTATATTTATAGAAATTAATCACACATACACACATGTATATGTGCAGCAGACCTAAGACAGCCCTGTGGCAACCACTAGAGGTATACTTTGCTAATGACTTTACCTCATTAAACAGTACTTCTGTAGTACAACTGCAAAATTAGTTATGAATCAACCACACTCTACTTGACAAGCAGCTCACATTTCCCTATTTTGTCAAAAAAAAAATTTGTTGTCTGAAAGTGACACATATTCTGTCAACAGCATAACCCAATCTATTTATAATTATTTCATAAATGAAATCAGAACTGACATACCTTGTGCTTTTATGAAGGAAGCTGGTCCCTAATGATGAGCTTTTTCTTTTCTAAGCATTCCCAAAATTATTAATTTAATAGCTTACAAATGAATTTTTGTAGGCTTAATATTTAGCTCACCAGTTTAAAGTCTGCAGAAGTCACCTCTGACCCCTTCTGAGAGTAAGCATATTTTCCATATCCGGTCTTCAGAAGCCTACTCATTCTTCCAAGATCCAGGATTAACAACATCAACTGTACAGTCTCACATGTTCTTTCAGTATCTGGGTTATAATTTATAGGATGTAGACATTCCTTTAATATCTCACTTATTTGGGTTTCAACTCAAAGTTAATCATTTTATTGTTATTTTACCATTTCTAAGATCATTAGGAAAAACAGCACAGTTTAACTTCTTCCATGTCAAGATAAAGCATTCCATTTTCCTACCATGAAACCTGGTCAATGGGGAGCAGTGCAAAATGTTTGTTAAACTTATAAATGGGGTGGTGCCTGTGGCTCAAAGGAATAGGGCACTGGTCCCATATATCGGAGGTGGCAGGTTTGAACCTGACCCCGGCAAAAAACAAAAACAAACAAACAAAAAAACCCTTATAAATGCAGGAGACATATCCCTTCTTTTAATTCTTTTTTCTAGTTATAAAAACATGTATCCTTTTTGGAAAATTCAAGTATTTATATAAATATATGAAATAAAATAATTCATGTCTCATAATTCATGTCTCTCAACAGTGGGCTTGAACACTGGCCTCTCAAAAGATATCCATGACTGCCGGGCATGGTGGCTCATGACTGTAATCCTAGCACTCAGGGAGGCCAAGGCGGGTGGAATGCCCTGAGCTCACAGCTTTGAGCCCAGACTGAGCAAGAGCCAGACCCTGTCTCTAAAAATAGCCAGGCATTGTGGTGGGTACCTTTATAGTCCCGGCTACTTCTAGGAAGCTGAGGCAAGACAATCACTTGAGCCCAAGAGTTCAAGGTTGCTGTGAGCTAGGATGCACTCTACTGAGGGTGACAAAGTGAGACTATGCCTCACCAAAAAAGAAAAGATATCCACCTACTAATCCCTGAAATTTATAAATTTCATTTAGTTTGGAAAAAGGACTTTGCAGATGTGATTATGTTAAAGAGCCTGTGATGGAGAGATTATCATGGATGAGCCCTATAAGCAATTAGGAGTGTTCTTATGAGAGGCAGGAGGAGATTTGATTAAACAGG